GGAGATTTCTATTTGTAATGCAAATGCTTTTCTTTAAAGCAACAGTCTTTACTTAATCGCTGCAAAAATTATAAAGTTAAGATTTAAGAAATTGTACCACAGCTTTTTTAAAACCTTACATGCCATTTGTCAAATATATAATCAGCACAATAAAGTTGTCTGGAAATCCGACAGTATCCGAAGTAAAATCTATTTTCAGTACTATGATAAAAGTGTTAGAATGCAATTAGATTTTAGCAGACAAATGCAGGTGTTTTTATCAGCAACGTCTGCAGTTATGCAATCGTTCTTAATAACTGCTTGGCCTTAATAAACTAATTTTTTTTTCTTGAAATAGTTGAAAAAATCACTTGATAATTTCTGTTTAACTCAAAATACTCTCAGTTTCTACTTTAGCAAACACCTCTGATTATTGCGTCTGCGAGAGGACACCTCAAAATTGTTGATTTTCTGTTGGAACATAAAGCAATGCTCGACGACGAAGACAGCACTCCGGTATAATATTTGCATTTAAGAAAAAAAAAAGGTGAATTTTTATAAGACAGCTGTTGTAGTTGTTCTTCAGAGCTTTTAGTCGCCTATTTTTAGAATTTTTCAAATTTACAAAAAACAGCTTTTAATATTACTCTGTTTACAATAGTTTTTCAAATATTTAGTGTAACGATATTCTTGGAAATATGATATTTAATGTATAAGAAATATTTCTAAACGTCGAAAACAAAAAAAGCTAGCCAATGTTCTTTTGGCGAGCTTCGATTCTTTTCAGAACACACTTGGTCGGTTTTTAATCACTAATGATTTGATTCATACATCACATAAATTAACAGTAAAAGTATTATAATGTTGCCTTAATACATTCATCCGGTATAGATCACTATGCTTGCTTTTAGTGCAAATGTAAGCTCTAACCTCCGGTTAGAATATTTTGATCTATGTCTGTTAGAAGTTCCTATATGACAGTCAGTTTGTCTAACGAAAGTTTTCTGATATTTTACAGACTATTTCAGTCAATCTACAAACAGTGAACTTCTTTCCTTACTTTCTTAGATTTACACATAACAGAAAAGCTTTTATTTTTTGACATCTGTAGAAAGCAGTTTAGCATAAAATAATAATAAGATATACTCTCTACAATCTAATAACAGTATTGCATTTACTAATGTGAAAGTACCAAAAAAAACGTGTGTGAAAGTAAAATTTTTTATTTTTGTGACTGGATAAATGTCTACAAAAGTAAGAAAACAGTATAAGTGCATTTTAAGGTGGAACTTAATGACTAAGGTTTTTTTAAAAGTTTTTCAGAACAAACTTCTTAAAGCGACTAAATTTTTGAATTTAGATAACACCTCTGATTGTGGCTTGTCGTGAGAATCATTTCGAAGTTGTCAAACATTTGCTGAATGTGAGAAAAAGAAGATTTGAAGAAGCAGAAGAAAAAAAAGAAGGGAAAAAAGACCCAAATGGTTATAAAAGGGTAAATTTAAGTCGAAAAAAAAATTACAAGATTTCACTGCAAGGCTTCAGAGATAAATCACACTACCAGACTGACCTTCTAAAACTGACTGTTTCAATGTTTCTAAGAGCCTTCTTATTGAAAACACCATTGTTTACGTTAGTGTGACTCTGTAATCAAATCACTTATTGCAACATTCACTAAAATTAATTCTGAGCGCCTGCTTGGCAAAATTTTTTTGCTGTTTCCAACAATAGCTCTTTTTCTTTTTTTTTTAATTCACTAACATTTATTACGATAAAACAGTTTTGAAAAACTACTGCTTATAAATTCTAAAATTAGCTTAAGTTACACTTTGATTTTTTAAAATAAAGACTGAAAATTTGATGAATAAGTAAACGAAGACAAAAATACAACGTGCAAACTTAAAGAAAGTTTTTTGTAACATTTAGCATAAATAAAGTGCCAAACCAAAACAAGTCTTATATTATATTAATTTGATATCAACTAAATATCCTCTTTGTTCTTTTTTCTTTTCAGCAAATACCTTACATCTTAAATCATACCAGAAGTGTCGCTATGGTAACGTGCCTAATAGCCGATAAAAATGACGTTAATGTGCGAGATAAGGAAGGAGTAAGACTTCTCTGACTGATCAGAATTATAATAATGACACCTAAAATTTAGTTATTACTTTTACCAGTCTTTCATAAAAATTTGGCATAACATTTCCAGGTATAAGATGGTCTTTTGGTCATCTATAAACTGTCTTATTAAGCGGCTTTGTGGCGGCTAAAAGACTAGATGAGTGTCAGAGTTGCTTCAGTGATTAGTACTTTGGTGCTAAAAATTCTATTTAACCAACATTCAAAGTGCAGATCATTTGCTTTTTATTTCAGAGGACACCGCTTATTGTTGCAGCTTCAAACGATTGTCTCGAAATAGTAAAATATTTGATAAGCATAAAAGCCAATGTAAATGCACTAGATAAAAATATGGTAAGAAGCACTTATCAAACTAATCAACAATTAGACAGTAAAATAGTATTGCAACTTATACTTGAAGCAGTAAGTCTAATATCTGCAAACGCTCGACAAACACAACATTCTAACCGATCACAATTACTCTGTTTGAAATCTGTTCAACTGCTACTGAACTGTATCTGACAATTCGCAGTACTTCATCTTCTGGGTGAACAAAGCTATGTTATCATTAATTTCAGAAAACTTCATTGATTATCGCAGCTTCGTTTGGTTACCTAGACGTCGTAAAATATTTGATAGAAAGTGGTGCCAATGCTGAACTGAGCGATAAATCGGGGGTACAGCTTTAATGAATAAATTACAAAATTTTAGTCATAAAAATCATAACTTTTAAATTTTATTTTTTGAGCTTAAACCAAACGCTTGCTGAGGTTGTTTAGAAAAAACACAGAAAATTTTTTTAGGATTAAACAAATCAAAATTTTTTTTCTAAAATATGACATTTAAGACTTTTGTCATCTCCTATGTTGCCTTAAACTGTTTCTTTTGTTGACTACTTTTCCAACGCTATTTTTAGAAGCTGAAATTTTACACTTATTGCTTACAATAAACTGTATCGATAAAGTGTAATGTTTGAGACAAAGTTTTGTTTAAGCAACAGTAAAATTTTGAACGTTTATTTAAGTAAAAATAACGTGAAAATTATTTGGTATTTATTATCTCTGTTTTTTTTTTCTACAACTTTCTAAACTAGTATGTTAGAAGCTGTTGTAGCTTATTTGCTTGAAATCTCAATGATTGATAAAACAAACATGAATTGAAAGATTGCAAATAGACTGAAATGATACAAGAAATTTTGGTGAAGTTTAGTGCGCATTTTAAAAGGGTATTTTAATTTCAGTTTTGCTTTGTTTCAGAGGACAGCTTTACACTTCGCAGCCAAGTCTAATCATATGGAAGTTGTTAAATATTTGTTGAAAAAAGAAGTTGAAAAAGCTATTATAAATAAACCTGACAGCCACAAAGTTAGCTTTTGCCATGGATCTTTAGTTTGTCTCATAAACGTTTTACCATATTACTCAAAGAGGCTCACTCACTTTTTCTGAAACCTTTTCTGAAGCATATAAAATCATTTTGAAATTTTCTGAAACAAAGTGTCTTTTTTACCTACAACAACACACTGAAACCACTTCTGAAACGATTGCTCGTTCAATGCAGAGTGTTCAGAAAAATTAGCTCCTCTAAGCTGAGCGTTTCAGACTTTTTTTTTTATTTTTTATTTTTTTATTTTTTTTTACTTTATTTTTTGAGCTTAAACCAAACGCTTGCTAAGGTTGTTTAGAAAAAACACAGAAAATTTTCTTAGGATTAAACAAATCAAATTTTTTTTTTCTAAAATATGACATTTGAGACTTTTGTCATCTCCTATGTTGCCTTAAACTGTTTCTTTTGTTGACTACTTTTCCAACGCTATTTTTAGAAGCTGAAATTTTACACTTATTGCTTACAATAAACTGTATCGATAAAGTGTAATGTTTGAGACAAAGTTTTGTTTAAGCAACAGTAAAATTTTGAACGTTTATTTAAGTAAAAATAACGTGAAAATCATTTGATATTTATTATCTCTGTTTTTTTTTTTTCTACAACTTTCTAAACTAGTATGTTAGAAGCTGTTGTAGCTTATTTGCTTGAAATCTCAATGATTGAAATGACAAACATCTCAATGACAAACATGAATTAAAAGATTGCAAATAGACTGAAATGATACAAGAAATTTTGGTGAAGTTTAGTGCACATTTTAAAAGGGTATTTTAATTTCAGTTTCGCTTTGTTTCAGAGGACAGCTTTACGCTTCGCAGCCAAGTCTAATCATATGGAATTTGTTAAATATTTGTTGAAGAAAGAAGCTGAAAAAGCTATTATAAATAAACCTGACAGCCACAAAGTTAGCTTTTGCCATGGATCTTTAGTTTGTCTCATAAACGTTTTACCATATTACTCAAAGAGGCTCACTCACTTTTTCTGAAACCTTTTCTGAAGCATATAAAATCATTTTGAAATTTTCTGAAACAAAGTGTCTTTTTTACCTACAACAACACACTGAAACCACTTCTGAAACGATTGCTCGTTCAATGCAGAGTGTTCAGAAAAATTAGCTCCTCTAAGCTGAGCGTTTCAGACTTTACAGCACCCAACTCTAAAAAACATCTGAAAAAATATAATTGTTCCATGTCAGCACGTTCTGAAAAATGTTTTTTCTGAAAAAGTATAATCTGTTTTTGTAGCATACCTTATATGGATAAGTCAGTCGTGCTGTTTTTATTTTCAAAACAGAAGAAATGAATCATCGTTTATGAAAGTGTTGCGTTTGATACTGAAACTGTTTACTGTACTCAACTTGTTGAGAGATAGGAATGCAGATATTCTTTAAATTACAGAAAGTTTAGAAAGATGTTTCGTTACCGCGCTTGAAAATTTGTTTTCCATACAAATGCTGCAGTTTTCTTCATTCTAAGCTTTTTTTTTTAAACATCCAGTTCAAAGTTCAAAAATAGGTCTCAGAACGTAGCTGTAATAACTTTAAATAACTAGAACTAAAATGCTTCAATTTTATTTCAAAAGTTATAAGCATCAAATCAGATAGCAGTAATATATGAATCTTTTTTAGAAAATACTTTATTACAGTCACTTGTAGGTCTGCTTTTTAGTTTATCGTGCACGTACAAATGAGTTAGAATAATTCATAAAAGATGATCTTAATGTTAGGATACTGCAATTTATGAATGAAAAGTTTTCCTTTTTTAGATGACACCGCTTATTGCTGCGATTTTTGAAAGGCATATGGAAATGGTGAAACTTTTGGTAGAGCATGGAGCAAACGTTGATGCAGAAAATGAAAAGGAGGTTGGGGAAAACCTTTAAAAACTTTAGAAAAGACTTTTTTATACTGGAAGACGACGAAAACGAATTAATAAAATATATTGTATGAAAGGTCTGATAGAGGACTACTAATGCAGATGCCGTGTAGCAATAATCAGCTGACAGTTTACAGTCTGTTCTGCTGTTCATAAAAGGCAGCAGTCAGAATGCGATTTGAAAAGAATTTCTTTTTTATTTTTATCAAATTTTGCATGCTCTGTTCTGTTAACAATTAAATTCCAAAAGTTTTAGACTGATCAAACAATCTAACCAAATATTACATTATTTATTAAAGTTTATTCATAAACAGCAAAGTTTCTTTTTCAAACTTTACAGCCTATGCGGCTTAAAGCATTAATCTATCAAGAAAATTACTGCTTGCTAAAAGTCTGCTAAAACTGAAAAATTTATCAACATTTAAGTGAATTATAAAATTTTTTTTTTTTTTGCTTTTTTAAATCAACTTATATAACAGCTTGATTTTTCATTATTATTTGTTATTGAGTACACTAAATATGTGCCAATTCTTTAATCACTTCTTGTTTCTACACAAAATTATGGAAGTGCAAACTTATTGTAACAAATTTTCATAGAAAGACCAAAGTTTATTCAACTTAAATTAATTTATAAGTTTTATCTATTGGTTACTGTAGCTTTTTTTTTGGTACTTAGTAAAGTTTTTATCTCTGTTATAGTGTCCACCCCTAATATCGGCCTGCTCAGTTAGATCGCTGAAGATGGTAAAGTATTTAGTAAAGAACGGAGCTCTTCGTGATGTAAAAGACAGCAGCGGGGTGAGAGTTCAGAAGTTTAGAAGAATTTTTGCTTCAAACAGCTAACAATTTCTTTATTTTTTTTTTTTTTTTTTTTTGCGCAAACAGCTGTAAAGAAAAACTTTACACTTAAAAAATAATATTTTGAGGTCTAAACTTTTCTAAAAAAATTTCTTACTACACTTTGTAAAAGTAAGCTGTTTTAAATGACATTTCAAACAGTTTTTTTCGTATATTTTTATATAAAAAAAATTAACAAAGAATAATATATTTGTCGGTTATAACTCAAAATATGCTTCATACTGAATGTCTGCTTTTCACTTGCAAAATATGACAGCTAAAGTTAACAGTTTTCAGTGAGCAAAATAGAGAAAACCAAATTGTAGGTTTCTTTTAAATAGCATAAAAGCAGTAACAGCAGGTGGCAAGATTTTAAATCAAGCAAAAATAGTTTCAAAACTTTTTTGTACAGTATTCTGTAAAAATTTTTGAGCATTTTTTAATTATAGAAAACACCGTTGTGGACAGCATTTTTGAACGATGATATTAAAGTGATTCGTTATTTCCTAAGTCGTGGCATCGAAGTTGATGAAAAAGATCAAAAAAATTCGGTAAATTGTACCAGCAAAAGCTGAATGTTTAACAACAAAATTCCCAAGTTTTCCACTGTTTTTTTCCTCTCATTTTTAATTTTCTACTCATTACTAACGTTTTTCAATTATTTATACATGCAAACTGTTTCAAGTTTGATAGATAAAAGTGTTTTGAAAAGGCAAAAAGTGCATAAAACTTTAAAGTTTTTATAGCGTTTGCTAAGAAACTGCTACTTTTTATCAGCTATAAAAATAAGTCAAAAATTTTTGCTATTATTTAAAATGTTTGTGACAAATAGACGTAAAATTTATAGAAAATTTTTATTTTTAAGTAAAATTCTTTTTAGTTTTCTGCATATCAACGAATTTTTTAAATTATCCTAATTTTTCAGAATTGAAACTTTTCTACTTTTACTCAATAGCTATTTTTATTGTATAAACCTGTGTTCAAAAGCAGTTCACATAGGCAAATTAAATTTGTTCATTGTTGAAAAAGTTACAAAATGACTAAGTAGAAATGTTATTTTGCTGACAATAGAATAGGTTTTTTAGCTGTTTTAAAGAATGTTAACTAACCACTTGTTTTCTCCAGAAGACATTGCTTTGGGCTGCTTGTGAAAAAGGAAACATGGAAATGGTACGCTTTTTGGTCAGTAAGAAAGCTGATGTAAATACAATAAACAAAGACAAGGTTAACATTTTTTTGAATAATCATCTCAAAATAGAGTTTTTTTCTTTTAAAGTTTCTCTTATCATTTATTTAAAAATAACCATAATAGCTTTCCCAAAACAGTACTTTTGTGCTATTACGAATTTAACTTTCTAATGTATACTAAAACTGATAAACCGTTTAATAAAAAAAACAATGCCAGGTTTTGCAACGCTTACATTGGTAACTGTAAAGTTTATTAATGATGATTTTTTGAACAAATTATGGAAAATATTTGCACAGCAGTATAAAATAACTGAAATTTACAGTTGTCAAGACAAATTTTACTTCTCTTTTTTAAGATTCCAGCATCATTTGTTGCCTATTGTAATGGGTATGCAGATATTGCAAAATACTTGTTGGAACAAAAAGCCGACGTTAATGCGAGAGATAAAGATGGGGTAAATGACCGCTGAAATAATTAGCAGTTTTTTCAATGCCCAGTTTCACAATACTCATCCAACACTTTATATGTCAAATTCTTTAATTTATTTCTAAAAAAAATGTTATCCTCAAAAAGAAGTTGTCTGAAGCGCAAAAATCAGAGAACCTTATCGTATAGTTTCCAGTCACTCAAATAATTTAACTTTACAAAGTTTTCTTCAATTTATTTTGCATTCTGTAGCAAAAAATTCAAGAAAACTTTCCTTTTGGTACTTCAGAATACGCTGTTATTATACGCTTGCTCTAAAGGTGACATCAATTTTGTAAGAGAAGTTGTGGAACGAGGTGCAGATGTCAATGCGAGTGGTAAAAATCAGGTCAGTTTTGTTCGACATCTCAAACAGCCTCTGGAACTCAGTTCTTCGTTCCCACTACTTTACTTTTTTTTCTGACATACTAAAATGCTTTAAAATTACTAGTGATTGTTAAAAAATAATTTAATTAACAACCATAGAAAGTGAATAAAAAGGTCTATCCTGAATCGTCTCAACTATATGAGTTACCTAATAAATTCTCTTAATCTCTTTATACAAATAATCTATGCCTGTCTTATCAATGTTTTAAAATTATAGTTGTGGGTCAAACCAGAAGTAGCTGGCATGATATTGAGCAGTCAAAATTCTTTGATTATTACTCTTCTGCTCTCAATTTATTACAAATTTTACTTTAGGTTTTGCCGTCGTATGTTGCACTGTCAAACGGTCAAACGGATATTGTAAAGTATTTAATCGACAATAAAGCCGACGTAAATGCAAGAAACAAAAATGGTGTAAGTCTATGTTCTAAACACCTAGTTTTTTTTTTGAGTTGTTTTTGCCTCTTATTTTCCTTTAAAAATCGGACTTTTTGCATAGTTTTACGATTTAAAGTGGGAAGTTCATAATAATTTTAAGTAATTTAAGCAACCATAGAAATAATTAAAATTTTTTGATTATTAAAAGCTATTTGTTCTATTTAAGAAACCGCTGTTATTCGCCGCATTATCGCGGAACAACTCTGAAGTAGCGCAGTACTTAGTTGAACATAACGCCGACATAAATGAACTAGATGTTGACGGAGTAAAATTTTGCTGTGAAAATTTAAAGCCTATTACTGAACATTATTTTGCTTCAGTTTTCAGTTTACTGTTTTTATCAGCAGTTTCGTAAGATATAATTAAATTGCTTATTAATAATATGATTCTTCTGAAAACAGAAACAGTTTGGTTTTATAGTCACAGCCGTAACGCAAACGAATACAATAATCCTTGCCAATAGTAAAACTGATCATATAAAATAGTTAAAGTTTTGCCGATGATACTGAAAACACAAACGACTCTCATAGGATTAGTATCAAGTCTGCGAATAGCACTTGTTTCTTTCAGAAGACGCTGCTGTGGAGTGCATGTTTCAACAGAAACGTCGAATTTGTTGAGTATTTTATGAAGGTAGGGTTTCTCATACCTGTAGAAAAAAAAAAAAGACAGTCAAGTAAATAATTATTGAAATAGCTGATAAATTTTGACAAGAGATTATTTAGTCGCTATTATTGTCTAATGTCATATTGTACTGTTAATGCAACTTTTGATAGTTCCTCAATTTTCATGATTTCTTTACATTAGTTATTCCTACAACCTTCAACACTGTTATAACGCATGGTTTGCTTCTAAAAGTTCCACAACTGAGTGTAAGGTAAATTAACCACAGTAATTGCGCCTTTAAAGATCTTAACAAACTTTGGCCATTCCTTTCAAACTTTTATTAAATACATAAGCTTGAAAACTTTCAGAATCAATTGTTAACTGACAGTTATACGAGAATTGACATTGACGTGTTCAACTACATAATGGGAGTTGGTGCAAACGTAATTGCAGCAAACGAGGATAGAGTAATAGTTTTAACAGTCAACAAGTTTTAGCATTAATGAACAAAAATCAGTTCTTTCATTTGTTTCAATTTGTCAACTTAAGTTTTGGAGCAACGTTTTTTTGAAAACCTTCAGCCAGCATCAAATTACCTTTGCTTTTTTTTTTTTTTAGTAAATCTGTGCTACTCTAGTTGTTGCTTGTAAAAACCAAAAAAGTTTCTAATTAAAAAGTAGTTATAAACTGCACAAAAAATTTGTAGTTTTAAAAGTATTTTCTGAATTAAATAAACCTTTGCTTACTTTTTTTCTTTTTTATTTTGATTTTAAGATGAATTTTTTTTTTTGAATATACAGTTGTGGTATATTTGTATTTGTTATAAAAATTTTAAGCAAAAAAAAACTGACTCAAACTTCTTTCTTTTTTTCAGATATTTCTTTCTGCTGTTCCAAGGACGTTTTATCACAATTGTGCAATCAAATTGTATTATATCAGTATGTGCTTATTATGTACTCAGTTTTTGATTTTTTCATTTTTTTTGCTGAAACCCTCAAAAATTAAACCTTCACAATACTGTTTCTAAAGTTACTAACTATGATGAATTAAACCAAGTATCTGAAAACAAAAAATGCTTCATACTAAAACATATAAAACAGCTTTTCAAACTGATATTTAAAGAGTCAGTTCCTTAAAGCACTTAGTTTTACTTATTTTGCTTTGAGTTTAGGTTAAATTTCTTCTTTTTTTTTTCCCACCTTATTCATCTTTGTAGCAAATGTTATTTAATAAATACAGTGAAAAACCAAAAAAAAGACATAAGATTAGGCAGAAGAAGGTTGATCACTGGCTTTTTGTTCTTCTCAATCAAACGAACGGTAAGTTAGACATTGACTAAACAGTCGAAAAATTTGTCATCTAAAATTGTCACTGTTTAAAACAAACTCTTAACGACGACGAAAATTGTTGTAAACTAAATAGGTATGTCAAGCTTTTTTTTGATTATTATTTTTTTCAAAAAGGAGAAAATAAAAAGCCGATTTTTTTTTAGAAAAAAGATCAAATGCAAATAGAATTGTTGAGGAGAAGGTGGAACAAAATGTGGTGAACTGTAAGACGGAGAAAAAGAAGTCAATAATGAAAAAGATTTCTCCTCACAGAGGAGGAAAAAGAATAGTAAAAAAAGTTGGAAAATTTGTTGGTTATCACTTAGATGATATAATGGCAAGAAATTTTTTAGAAAGTTTTTTGTCTATAATTTAATTACAACACAAATCACAGTTATTAAAATTGGATAAATATTGTAGAAAAATTACTATTTGCATAACTGTTAAAAGTAGTATCAAAAAAAAAGTGAAAGTGATAATGAAACAACAAATTAAATTTTTGCTTATGCAGTACGATTATAATCAAATTTTAAATTTTTTAAATAAATTTCTTGCATATTAATGTACAGTTTATGTTAGTTAATTGTACAAATAAAAGGAAAATAAAAAAACGAACGATGAAACTGTTGTTGGTTGTAAAAAGTTGTTATCCTCTGTATCATTTAAGGCTATATCCTTGTAGTTCTTGCGAAACCAAATGCCAATGATTCTTTGTTGTATATACTCTTCAACTGATCTTTGAAAATAATTTTTTTTGTTTTTTGATGTGTGTTATTTATTCATCTGATACGTGTAATTCTATTATGCATCTTTTTTTTTTGCTATTTAAGTACAAGAAAGAAAAAAAGGTATATTTTTCAATTTATAACACGGTATGTAAACACAGCATCGATCTACAGACGACACAGTGTACAATAACAACAGGTAAAAAACTGATAAAGAGAACTTGAAACTTAAAAACACAACAGAACATAAATACATACATTTCAATAACAAGTAAAAAAAAAATGTATATATGGATGACCAAATTATTGAAGCATAAATATGCATAAAACCAAAATAAAATTCTTTTCTTCTTTTCTTCAGTTATCATTGATTGACACTGATTGTTGAAGTTTTTGATGGTTCTTTATAGTACAATTTTTTTGATCACAACAAATATGTTCTGTAATAACCTGCCAAAGATAACAAAAAAAAAAAAGAAAAATGTGATAAATCTTCAACAGCAAAAATGATTCAAAAATACAAAAAAAAAAAAGAATAACGTTTTCCTTTTGTTTTATATTTTTTCTAACAAATCTGCTAAGCAGAAAACATAACACAATTACTGCTGAAGAAACCAATTTGTAATTTACATTGAATAGAATTAATCCATCAATACAATACAATTGTGCATTTTCACTATATATTTGTGAAATTGTTATTTTGACATCCCTATCAATGATTCACAAAAAAAAAAAAAAAAAA